GGGCGCTCACTGCCGTCACGATAGCGGTGAAACAACACTGCTCCAATGCCAACTTCTGATGCATCGCATGACACCCTAATCAGCAGGGATGGGTCAAAATGCGCCAGCACCTGTTTTAGCTGCTGAAAAGTCGCTTGCTCACTACTGCCCCAGTTCCATGGTATGTCCTTCTTGGTCAGTCGATAGAGAGGCACTAAGTTGGGGAGAAACTTGCCATAGAACTGCACAGACCCCAAGAATGAACGCAGGCCGGAAACGTTTTCCGGTGGCGGCATCTTGATAACCGCGTTGACCTTAGCCCCCTTCTCAATCCCCTTTTGGGAAAGCTTGTGGCCCAGGTACTCAACTGCGGGTTGAGCGAATGAGCACTTCTCCATGCGACATCGTAGCCCTTTCTCTTCTTATAATATATAAACTCAACAAAGGATTTATTCCAGCCACACTCCAGCCTGCCACGTAGTAGAGTGACCACGCAAGTACATGGCTTTAGGAAATAATATAGCGCCACCTATTGGGCCTAATATGGGCGAATGATACAATAATGTCACAGTCGGGTCGAATGTTTCAAACAGCGTTTACTTTTGACACTCTGCGGCGATGTTGTGACGTGTCTCTTGTTGCTATGCGGTGTTGCAAAGTGCTGAAGGTCATGAAGGTAGCATGTACTCATAGATATCATATAATACATGTGTTATATGATATCTATGGCTGTGCTGGTTACGTGACCTGCGTCGACTCTTGCCGCCATGATACAGAACCGCGGCAAAACGTGTTTTTCGAGTTGTTTTTCCGTTGAGCGAATATAGGCTTGATACCTATTTTTACAGTTTTATATTTTCAAAGCTAACATTCAGTTAAAGTGTAGTGAGTTACATATTTACTTACGTTTTACAGTGGTTTGTCACAAAAATGTGTGCGGGAATGCATATCTCTACAGAAATAGCATTGATAAGAGTGTGTGCATGTTCAGAGTATATAGATGTGTTCAAATTAATTATTACGAGTAACAGTATGTCCTATCAGTATCACAGAAAGCAGTACGTGTTAGTCAAGCACAATGGTATGAAAAATATAAATGTAGAAACAGCTGAATATTAAAATATACCTTCTGAAAGTGAACAAGTTTGTAAATCTAAGCCGCTGCGTAGATTTCCTGTTGTGTTTTTTGTAATTTTCTATTCAGCCGGTCTCGTTTTGCTTTCAGGTATTTCATTCGTAAGACTTTTAGCTGGTAGCCAACGACAACTCCAAGCATGAATGACAGTGTCAACCCAACGACAGTGCCACGTGAAGGCATTCTGAAAACACAAAGTCTATGTGATCATAATTATATGTATGTCACTAAACTCAGTGAACTGTGAACAGACTATGAGTATGACTATGAGTATATGACTATGAGTTGAGTATATGATGTGACTGATAATGTGTGAACATGTATCTTTTCTAGAAGAAAGATTCTAGGACAAGATTTAGTCTAACAGATTTAGTCTAACATCGATAGAATGGTTTTACTTTGTAATAACTAATATAAGTATAACACCTTAATGACATGACAAACGATTTGTCATTTGCTGAAGGTAACAAATAAACTAACTGGTACTGTCCCACACAATCCTAATGTTTTTACCTAGATCCATTCACAAGACATAGAACTTATATAATACTAATAGTATTAATAATAATAGTAATAATACACACGCCACAAGTTTGTCTTATGGACTCTGCAGCGAGAACCTCAACAAATGTGGTTCACTTTTAATAGACGGACTCAAGGCCGCTATATCGATGCTGTATTTGCTTAAAATTAATGCAAAGAACGACTACCGTAACCAGTCTAGTCTGCGGTCATCAGCTCCACTGGATAGACGGGTCACCTGTTACTAAATTTCAGCCGCGGGCGCATGTGCAAAAGGGGCCTAGCAATATTACGGACACGTTGGGACCCGTCTAACTACACCAGTCCCACGATACTTCATTCAAAATGTCGCTGTCATGTAATCTGGAAGAGGCCCATTTCTGTGCATTATCTTCACAGAGCAATGTTTACGGCCTGACTTTTGTCTCATTACCTGGCGGAGTTAATAAAGTGTTAGTCGCCTCACACAGAGGAAAGGTCATATCAATGGAATATGATCATAAGCATTTCGGAAATTTGAGACCTTCCTCGCGCGAAATTCACTTCACATACATTCCAGGTACTTACCCTTCTTTAGTTTAGCGTTAGGCTTTACCGGCTTTACGTTTTTAGTCTTTATAGTTCAATTAGAGAATAATGACATTATTAATGTCGTATAGGAAGAGTATGGTACATTTGCCCATGGTCGCCTCCGTATTGCAGACATGGTTTACAAACGCTGAGAGGGTCTATGTCCCCCGGGGTAATGCCGGAACGTACCGTAACCCTGGGTACCATAGACCATAGGCTATGA